AAAATGACGCCTAAAGGTCAACCTATTTTATTTTTGTATTTATGGATAAAGGATATACACGCAGTTCAGATTTAAATCCACGTCTTAGATGAAAAGATACTGCACGTGTTAAAGTAAAAACCAAGACAAAATATATATTTATTACTAAATTAAATGTAGGAAAAAGTCTAAGTTTCTAATTTCTGAAGAACAGCACGGATATAGAGGATATTGAATGAGTGTAACTTCAATACTGAATTTATTGCACGAGTTGGATAAAATGATATTATGCGAGCCTTTGGCGAGCATAATATTATTTTATTCACAAGTTCAATAAATTCAGTAATGAATTAACACGAATTCAATATTCTATTTATCAAATACCCTAAATAAAGACCGTTTAAAGTGAAAAAGAGTCACTGTCCAGTGACGCGCCTATAGTATAACGCTAACATTTATGCTTTGTTTGTGTAACGCTAATGATGTCACTTCAAAATATATGCACGGTCGTGCAATACCATTTTACTGATTTTTCTTTCGCAAAATCGGCACAGGTGTGTGATAAGAACACTTACATGTGCTTCGTAAATACTATTTTCATAGTAGCGTAGCAATTTTTATAACCGTTCTTTCATAAAGATAATGACGTCAGTTGAGCGCATGAGTTGTCTAAAGGTTTCAGACGGGTCTTCCGGCATGGAAAAAAACCATCGGAATCCAAATCCGATTTGAAACTTGTATTTCATTTTCGGTAAAATGTTTACCACTAGAAATTAATAAGCACATTTTAAAGTCACTCTTTTATTGCTGATACCTACAATACTTTTTATAAAAAAAATAGATTGTTGGGGCATTTGTGGAAAAAAACGCCATAATATGATAAGCAAATTCATGAATTGCATGTAACTGTTTTGATCAAATTATGACGTTCCTTTCATTTAAAATTTAAAAAAAAACCTGTATAAATATCTGGCGTCAAAGTAGCTCAACGGTCACGCTAAATGGTACCGTTTCCTCAAATCAATAGGAAATTTTTTATTTACTAAATTTATTGAACTTTTTCGCATAACATTATTTTTTTAACTTATTCAATAAATTCAATATGGAACCTACACTCATTCATAATTCTCTTAATATTTACAGCAGTAAATTTAGCCAGAATGGGCATGGATGCTAAGAGGACGACCTACTACAACTTTTTAAAGTCAGTGGTTTCAGTTAATATACATATTTGAAAAGGAAACAGTAAATTTGTGTGAAGAAGCCGTACGTTATCACGATCAAACTGTTGGAAAATTCTTTCGCTTCGATTCTTGTGACGCGCATTTCAAAAGAAGTACACTATGGCCCTTGTATTGCTCAATTGATTATAAAGGCTCTAAATGACACGGAACAATCAATATTGTTTTTAAACCTACATCATAAGGTTCATATCTGCATCTGAAATAGTGCAAATGTGAACAAGGTTTTTCCACCTTGGACTATGTCACCTAGTTTTTAACCCATATTCAAACTTTAAAAATTATTTAAACAACATTGCTGACAAAAGCTGAAATATTTCATCTACAATGTTAACAATGTTTTTTTCATATTTTGACACTGTGTCAGGTGACAAATATACTGACTTAAGCTTAAAAGTATCTTAAACAACTTTCTGAACATTTTCAAAATATTTGGGCCAAAACAGTAGCCACTAGACTGTTAACAAGATTTGTTTTCTTTTTGGCTGCTGTGACCTAGTTTTTCAACCAAGATTACACATGTTCAAACTCATCCCAGCAATTACAAGGACCAACATTCTGAAATTTTGTGACAATTGAAGCAAAGATAGGACCATTAAAATTTTAACAAAGTAAATGTTGTCGGACGACAGATAACAGACATTAAACAAACCAAACAGCTCACCCTGAGACACTTCTGGTGAGGAAAAAAGGGGCATAACCCTTCGAAATAATGAACTGTGTTTTGATACTACATATTAACATGCCAAAGAAAAAAAAATGTGGCATCCTCATAAACTTATTCTTTGGAAACTAATCACGTACGAAAAAGTTAGGAGGCTTCCGCCTTAAATAAGCAGAGAATGCTTAAAATTTCTGTGTATATAAGATTTTCCTGCTAATTTAAGACGGACATGGAATTTTGTAAAAACTCATTCTAAGCAAAATCATATTCCGCCTAAGGCTTAGGCGGAAAATATGGGATGAACAAAAATTAAGACGGGATTTAGGACTTAGAATTTTGTCAATTATTCGTTAACAGGAATTTTGTAAGACCTTTTTAATAACCAGAAATTGAATTTGAGACATTTCTGCAGAAAACAGGTAAATCATTAATTGGTAAAGTGATGAACAATGGTTTTGCTGTTAAAATTTTATTCAATGTTGGTTTTCAAAACTAAAACATCATTGTAGATGTCACATTGTATAAACATATAAATATACATAATCAATAATTGAAAAAAAGACACCACTACAAAACTAAAACTAAAACGATAATTATGTTTTGGTGAATATACCTCACTGTGTAAGGTTTGTGTATGAACTAAACTCATATATCAAGACCTTTAATCTATGTAAAATTAAAGTTTGTAATATTATTAAATAACTAGTATCCTTGATGATTTCTTATAAATAGGATACATAGATAAATGCTCTAGAAACCACTCTACTATGATAACACCACATACCTGATAACACACAGATCTGACGATGGTTTCCCATAGTTAATTCTGCTACAATCCAGACTCTTCCATGTGATTTTTGTGCCCCCACTATGGGGGGATTCAGATTTACCCTTGTCCGTCCGTCCGTTCATCCGTCCATCAGGTCGATCATCTAAAGGTCTATGAGCTTCATTCCGTCCATGATTAAGGTTATAAAAAGAAGGAAATCCCATAAACCGACTGGTTTATGTGGTAATTTTACTGATTTATGGGGGAAAATGCGACATAAAGATGTCCTCCCGTCCGTCCGTTCGTCCGTTCCCTTTTTGTTTCGCACGTAGCTCAAAAGGTAATTGACCTAGAATCACGAAACCTTACAAGAATGTTGATCAGCATGCGTAGTTGTGCACCTGGATATTTTCATGTGGATATATTTAGTATTTTTAGAGTTATTGCGCTTGAATTAGTAAAAATTTCAATTTTCAATTTGTGTCGCACGTTATCAAAAAAGGTTTTGACCTAGATTTTGGAAACCTTATGGAATGTTGCTCAGCACGTGAAATTGTGCACCTGGGTATTTTCGTGTGGATATTTTTAGTATTTTTAGAGTTATTGCCCTTGAATTTGTAAAATTTTACAATTTTCAACTTGTGTCGCACGTAACTAAAAACGTATTTGACCTAGAGTCATGAAACATTTCAAGAATGTTGTTCAGCATGTGTAGTTGTGCAATGTTGCTCAGCATGTGAAGTTGTGCATCTGGGTATTTTTGTTAGGATACTTTTAGTATTTTAAGAGTAATTGCGCTTGACTTAGTAAAAATTAACAATATTTAACTTGTGTTGCACGTAACTCTAAAAGTTTATGACTTGTAGGCCTGAAAGTTTACAATAATGTTGGTTAGCATTTGTATTTATGCAACTTGTTTTCTTGTGTCTTCATTCAGTATGTGTAGTATTTGTCGTTTATTTAATAAAAAAAATTTAGTTTTCAACTTGGGCACATGTAGCCATGGGCACATGTAGCCAAAAAACATTTGACCAAGAGACATAATAATATTGACAATTCGGTGGACTGTGGGGCACCCGCGTCGTCAATAACTTTTACATTTTATATGAAGAGTCTGTTTAGAACGACATTGCAAAGTTTTCTTATTAAAATATGTTGTGAATTTTGAATTTCTACATTCTCCATTTATTTCCTGGTATGTTTATATAATTGTGAAAATAAAATGATGGGTTGGATTATCCCTGTTAAACATATGATGGTCCTGTCCAGTTATACAGTTGTAAAATTTGAAATCTAAGGTATCTGGGTCAGCAGAAGCTTGGAAATATAGCTAATAAAAAGGATCTTATTGATATTTAAGAAATTGTGGAAATAATATATCAGGACTTTTGGAGATAATATTCTGTTTAAATTGTTAGGACTGTATATTTTTGATTTTTTTTCAATGAAAAAAAAAACAAAAACAAAAAAACAAAAAAACTTAGCCTTGTTAATGAAATGACAATAATCTGGATATGTTCAGTTGTAAATGAAATTTGAATGCTTCGTTATGACCTGGGACAAGAAGAAAAAACCGGGATAATAAAAATTCAGGTAAATAATTTTTGGATACATAATGCAATAACAAGTTTTTAAAACAATAAAAATAAATTTCAAACAAATTAGATAACTTTGCATTAAGTTGGAGAGTAAATTTTAAACACTTAGTTTGGTTGTTATGAATAATAGTTCATAATGTATAATTTGTAAGGTGCTGAAACCGTTGTATGTTGTAGTTGTGTTGGGGGTAGAAGCAATCAAAAACCCCAACCATTTAATAGCTTACATGCATTCTTTAGGTTTATATGGTTGCAGTGTTTTACTGAGGACTGTTTGTGTTAAGCTGGTGTAAAAAGGCTGGGAAAGGAGAAGTCAATGTCAAGGATATTTAACGATGTCTTAACTTAAAAAAAGAAAGAAACTTGGTGAACAAAAAACTAACATTTACAGTGAAATGAAATGAAAGAATTTGCCATGGATTATAAGTGCAATTAAAAATATAACTCGTGCTTCTGTTTTCTTTTACATACTCAGTTTATGCAACCTAATGTTAAAAGGCTATGGTAAAGCTCACAAAGATAAAAGCTTGGTTATTTTAACCACCTTTTGTCTGTCTGTGATTAAAAATGTGATGAAGAAAGGGGCATAATTGTTCCAATAATAAGTTGATTCCAATGAAAATTGAAAATAACATGTATTGTGATCAACAGAATCATTGAAATCCTTCAAGTTATTCGACCAGTTTCACTTAAAATATTGCCATTGGTCCCTTTTTCTATTATAACATTATGAACTTCATTGTTCTCTTTTGTTTTGTTAACAGTTATCCCTATTTGGTAAGCCATCAGGCTTATAAAAAGAACATAATTGCATATCTGTTTTAATTCTGTCAGATGTGATTAAAATTGAACATATACATGTACCACAAATAAATATATTTTGATTACTGCCATCAATTGTAAATCTCTATTGATATCTATTATTATCTCAATATCCCATGTATGAATATTAAGAATAAATGTATTCCTGTTGTGTAGAATAGACTGAATAAGAGGAATGTTGGCGATTTTCCTGTCCTCTGCTGTCTCCATGGTAATATGGTCTGTACTCATATCCACTTGTATGTGACGGATAAACATGCTCCTTTGTATATGAACAGTAGTCATCAAACCTTGGAAACGATTCCTTGTAATATAATCTGCTGAGATTTCTATCACCCTTGTTCACAGCCTTCTGTTTGACATGATTTCCGCAGTGAAACCCATCATAGCATTTATACCCATCATCATTACGTAATGATCGTGACCTCATTGTCTCCTTATGGTTTAATTCCTCTTCACGACCTCTGTCATTTAATATATAAAGCTGCTGCTGATGTTGCTCGACTGGTCTCAAATTGTCTTTGTTACAATTTCCTTGTTTGTGTCTTTTATGGCTTGTAGGTTTTCTGCCACCCCTTCGTAGTCGATAAAACAAACAAACAAAGATAACTGTCCCGACTAAAGCTATTACAAGTACAGCAACAATAACAACAGCAATAACTACAATCATTTCATCACTTAAATAAGTGGTCAATGATGTAGTGACAGGTGGTGTTGTTGTTGTTGGTGTTGTCTGGGATGAAGTTTTACTGGTAGGTGTTGTTGTTGTTGCAGTGGCAGGTTCAGTCGTTGTTGTAGAGGCAGATGTTGTTATTGTAGTGGATGTAGTGGTTGTTGTAGCTAAATAGAAAATGATATGTCCTTATTTTCCTCTTTTTATTCAAAGAACTAAACTTTGTTAAGGAATCTAGTGTCACAAAAAATACATGTATATAAGAAATTCAACTTAGTTACAACAAAATTTTAACATACAGCATAAAGTGTTTAATGGGCAAAATCAACCTAGATTTATCTTACAAGAGGGCCATGATAGCCCTGAAATCGCTCACCTGTATAAAGACCCCCTGAGCGAGGCCAATTTTAACCCAGGGACTGTTATTTAAACAAACTTGGTGGACACCCATTAGAAGATGTTTCATGTTTCATGAAGAGTTTTTAAGTTTTTACTATACACATATAAGGAAATGACCAATAACCAATGACCCCAGGACAGGGCAAATGTTAACCCCAGGGCCTTAATACTTGAACAAACTTGATAGACACACATTGGATAATGTTTTAAGGTCATTTATGGTAAGTGTGGTCTTGTGAAAGGTCTTGTCCCAAGGAATGTTGTGGCCAAGTATGAAGACAAAACACCTAGAACTTAAAAAGTAATGATCAAGGTACAAGTTTGCGGACGGCACAATATGCACAACCAGGCTTGATATTGACCATTCCTGTAAAGTTTGTATGAAATTGCACCAGTAGTTTATTGATAGTAGTCCTGACAAATATTGTGTCGGACAGACAGACAGACAGACAGACAGATGTTATAACGAAATGGTACAAATGTGATTTAAAATATGTGCAAACTTGATAAAAGACTACCTAAGAATGCTACGGATAAAGTTGGTGATCATCACATAATAAGTTCTGTAGAAGCAGACGTTTAAAGATATTTCTATTTTTAGCTTAGGCGGCCTTAAAAGGGGCCAATCAAATTTATATGAGCAAACTTGATCAAAGACTACATTAGAATGCTAAAGAGAAAGTTTGGTGATCATTCATTCATCAATTAGTTTTGTAACAGCAGACGTTTAACGGTATTTCTTTTTTTTAGCTTCAGCGGTCCCTAAAATGGCCAATCAAATTGATATAAGCAAACTTGATAAACCACTACTTAAGAATTTTTCAAACAAAATTTAATGATAATCCATCAATTAGTTCTGTAGTAGAAGATGTTTTTTTTCTATTTTTAGCTCTAGAGACATCTAAAAGGGGCTAATCAAATTAAAATGAGCAAATTTGATAAAACACTACCTAAGAATGCTACCCAAGAATACTACAGACACACTTTGGTGATCATCCATAGTTTAATTTAATAGTAGATGATGTTTAAAGGTTTTTCTATTTTAAGACCCCAAAAAGTTTAAAAGAAGATTTTTAAGTTTTTACTATAGACATATAAGGAACATCAGTACCTCGGGGATGGGGCCAATTTTGATCGCAGGGCTTTCTTTTGAACAAACTTGGTAGACACTTACCAGAAAAAGTTTCATGCTTAATATCTAAGCTCTAATTCTTTGGGTTTTATAAAAGAATATTTTTTTAGTTTTTACTATATACATTAAAATTTTAAGGAAAATCAAAGACCCCCGCCCCCGGTGGGGGCTTATTTTGACTCCAAGGTTTTTATTTGAACAAACTTGATAGACACTCACTAGAAGATGTTTCATGCCAAATATCTTAGCTCTAGCTCTTTGGGGTTTTTTTTTAAAAGAAGATTTTTAAGATAGATTTTATTATAAGCATATAAAGAAAGAATCAATGACTCCCCCGGGGCGCGGACAATTTTAACCGCAGAACTGTTATTTAAACAAACTTGGTAGACACACATCAGACAATGCTTCAAGCCAAATAATTAACCTCTAGCTCTTTCGAGTTTTTTTTTTTTATTTTTACTTTATACACATACGGAAAAGCACTGACCCCCTTGGGCGGGGCTTATTTTGACCCTAGGGCATTAATTTGAACAAACGTGATAGACACTTATTAGAAGATGTTTCATATCAAATATGTAAGCATTACCTCTTTTGGTTTTTTAAAGAAGATATCTTAAGTTTTTTTTTCGGTTGCCATGGCATTTTTTTAAGGTGACCACCAAAGGGTCATTCCTGTGAAGTTTGCATGAAATTGGTTTAGCGGTTGGTTTACGAGGAGGTGTCGTTTACTGATGACGGTAGGACGGACGCGGACGAAAAGTGATCACTAAAGCTTACCATGTCACTTTCTGACAGGTGAACTACAAAAAGGGACAACATATTACAGTTGTCAAAAGGCTCTTTACACTTTGTTTTTAATTAATCGATATCTAATACAGCAACCGAAATAACAAACCGATTTACAAAAAGCAAATTTAAAAAAGTTTAACTTAATACCTGGCCTGTCACAGGTTGGAGCAGACAAACTCCACGTGCCGTCCGCCTGACAAGTTCTCTGAAGTACACCATTAAGCTCAAATCCTGAGTCACACGAGTAAGATGCCATAATGCCGTATGATGTACCAGAAGAAATATCAACATTGCCATTAGCAGGATTACTTAACATCCCGCAATCTATATCAATCAATAAGTATATCTTAACAGGAAAAATAAATACTACAGAACTACAATGCATGATATTAGATCATATAGCATGTATCTGTTATTTTCATTTCTAAAGTGGGAATATATTGATACAAAAACATTCCTACAACAACATAAACGAATATCCTTGTCAAGCATATTTGTAGACACTGCTGTGCATATAGGATAAAATACTTTCACTGTTTTGCTAAATTCAGATAAACCTTCATTAGAAACATTTACTACTTGGTTTTTAATAAATAAAGGATATCAAGTTATAAATTTAACAAAATTTAACATCTAATGCAGCAAAAGTGTGAGAAAAGGTAAGAAATCCGTTTGCCTAAAATACTATTATAATACCCCGCAATAAAAGGAACCATATTTACTTTTTATCGTACATTTTTTTTTGAAAAAATAAAGAAATTAATAAAATAAATAAAACAGGACGTCAGCGTGACATGCTGTTTATTCTTATTTTGGGTAAACACAAGTATCTAATTTTGGTAAAGGACAAGCATATCTATTTACCATTTATTTGACACACTGGGTCCATACCACTCCAAGTCCCGGACGCCTGACATCTTCTTGTACTGGATCCAACCAAAGAATAGCCAATGTTGCATGTGAATAAAGCATTTGACAGGTATGTCGTACCTTCACTATTGTCAACTGCACCATTAGCTGGATTCGTAAGAAAGCCACAATCTGCAAAGCAAACATGATATATCTGGCATGGTTATTGTAACATTAAAGAATAAGTAGAACTTTCATGGAAAATACTAGTATTACAATTTGAATTTCTCAATTAAAAAAAAGTTCAATATACATGTACTTACTATCGCAAAAATTTAGTAGTGTGAATGATGAGTAACCAGAACAGAACAAGATAATATTTAATTTAAGTCTGAGTCATGTAGTCTGCAAACAGACCTCTTATGTTGCATGTTGGCTTCGCATCATCCCAAGAACCGTCAGCCAAGCATTCGAGACTTGAAGCTCCAATCTTGTCGTATCCATTGTTACATTGAAATACAGCCACACTCTCATAGGTCGTACCATCTGTTAGATCGACATTACCATTCGCTGGAGCAGCAATTGTTCCCCAATCTAAATATAAAAAGTACATCTAGTTACGAAATCTAAATATAAAATGCGTTCTAGAATAAAAAAGGAAATTTCTGATTTCCTTTTTCTGTGGTCGACCCAAATGCGCTTTTGCAGCAACAAATTTATATGCAGAGAATGAGAGACAGAGAGAGACAGAGTGTTGGCTAACATAGGGGAATAATATCCCTATCTTTTAAACCTCAGATGAAACGCGTTGAACCTGTCCGTTCTGCGGATAATAGTCCTCCATCTTTTTATATGCGTTTATATTCCAAGAATAATATTGGAAATCTTTGTACGGAGTTATTTGATGAATATACATAGAAGTATATTTTGTTAACTTTTAAATGGGTCACTATTACGCACATTTATGTAGTTCATTCTCCGGGATCGCAAATGGTTTAATAATGTTTAATAAAATGACTAAACATTTTATCTTTTCTCCATATTCCTCATGCGTTAGTATGATCTTTGCTTATAATTGTTATTCATGTGGATAAAAATATTTTTATTATACACGGTTTTACCTCCGTTTTAATGACGATGATATGATCAATGACAAAATAGAGGTTAAAAATATAACGCAAACATTTGTTGTTGTTTTTTTGTGACAATTCGTTTCTGTATTTAACATTTTCCATCATATTATAATGAAAATATATAGTAAATAAACAACAAAAATAAGAATAAAAATATTTAAAAGTTATCTAAAACTGATATTGATATATTAGCTAGTAGTAACAGATTATTGCCAACTAATCCATTTTTACCAATTGTCTATTTATTAAAATACCTATCCATTACCTACAATGTAATCATTATTTATGAACATCAATCATTAACTTAAAAATAACTAGCGCAAAAATATAATATGTATAGTCATAAATTCATAAATGAATAATTATAATAATAGATAATATAGATATACGTATATTTATATATACATGTTAAATGTAATTATAATAATAATTATAATTATTATTATTATTATCATCATTTTTCATTGATCACTATATTTATTTAAATATGAAAAATCAGTTGATACTTTATAAATATTTATCGCACAAAAAATCGCACGAAAAATCGGCACGCAGCAGCCGGGACTCGACCATGGGTCTCTGGATTGCCGGTCCAGTATGCTTACCACTACACCACAGCGGCCGCTGCCTTTTTTTCGTGCAAATTGGCCTTATATATTTAAAAATAAATATAAAATATAAAAATAGTTAAAAATAACTTAAATATATAAGGCAAATTTATAAAAACTAAATTAAAGTTAATAAAAATCAAAACATGACATATATACTGTATGGTTTGTTGTTACGTCTGATACAATTAAAACCGACAAAATTCCAGACCTTTTATTTTAGACAAATTCACTTAAATGAGGTGCTTTACAAAACATCACTAATTCTAATTATCTTAGGAATGTCTTACAGCTGCTGACAATATTAATTAGTCTATGACAACGTTATAAATATTTACAATTATCATTAATTCTTATACTGCATATTGTAATTAGCATAATGCCATCCTGTAATATGTCAGAAGTCAACGGGAACGTGATAAGTGATGATTGTGAAAAATACATTTATAATTAAAATGGTGCAGAAATACATGAAGGTATCTCAAAAATAATATACATGTTAACATGTCTACATTGACCCGAACATGGGAACAACATGTACAGAAAAAAATCCGTTATCAGTCTTAAATTACATTAGATTTATTAAGATTCAATTAACATAGCGCACGCTTCTTATCTCATATAATGTTAATCAGTCAATGAATATAAAATTATGTTATTTTTATGAAGAACTAATTTAAAGGGCCACACGCTAATCTTATCAATATAATTAGATCTCCACATATGTCAGAAGGGCAATATAATTGGCCGATTTAATATACAGACTGTTGCAATATGCATTTCAGAAGTGGTGAAACAGGGCGCAAATTGGCACGTACTTGACGCGCTCTCTTATATGCCACCACACGATAATCATTGTACAGAAATATATAAGAATGAATGAATTTATTTCTCTGTCACATATTATGTTTATTAATGATATTTGAATAAAGATTTGGAAAGTTAATAGAAATTGATCTGTAGCACTTTTTCTTTGGACATGCTAAATAGAACATACATACATACGTTTTATTTAGACTTGTACATAGTACATCGTCATAGAAATACATTGCCATCTGAAATTCTGCTGTGTTTAAAACAAAAACTATATATTTCAAAAGGGGGAAATTATAGCATAATATATGCATATTGCGTGACGTATTCTTGTAATGAGTTTTGACATTTTTTCTTTGAATAATGAGTAGAGTTAAGATACTTTAAAAGTACACCAACATTAAAAAGCTTTTAAGAAAAATAAAAATAAGATTATTTCTGAGGCATAATGGGCCTTTAAAAGAAATATGGTGGATGCGCTTGTCATAAACCGGTTAAACAGTGTTATACTACCGATGCGTATGTTTCTTTTAGTTTTATTACTTTTCTTTTTCTGATTTTAGTACACGCATATATATGTTTATCTGGTTTTATAAAACTTTTCCGTATTGAAAGAATTGTTCATTTTACCTATAGTAATGTTGATCTGTTTTATTTTTATGTACGGTAAGTGTCACGTTGACATCACCACTTGTACGATAATTTAGTATGCTGCTCATTATATTATGAACATGTATTTACTCCTATTTTAGATTTAATGGCGTTCTTATTCTTTAAGTTATATACATAGAATAGTTAACTTTTGGCTACTACTTCGTTTGGTATAAAGTTTCTTATCGTCATACATTTTATCACATAAATGGCATATTCGTTAAACTTTATATTTATTACTTCAGTCGAGTGAAAATCAAACTTTTAAATAATTTGTATTAGATGGTTTACGTTTATTCATTTATAAGATAAACTTTAGAAGTGTAAAATTCTCTGTTCAACAGTCAGAATATTCAATATCTAAATAGCTGATAATAAGTCACATATATAGTTAAGTATGTATAAAAACTATAATGATGACATCAGACAACCCGAGATATATCCAACACACTTATAAATACATATTTGTAACTATGTAACATAGGATACAATGCATGTCACGCAGGGGAACATCACGGATACCCCCGAAGTATAATAACGAGACTGATGGTATCTACAATATGTGACTTCTTACTAACAGCGATTATATTGTCAAGACCATAAGCTTTGGGGGTACGATTGATATTCTGCTGCTTGGCAGACGATACTTTTATGTCTCTGTACATACGACACTCGTTTAATGTATTGAACTTGGGTAATGGGGATAGAAACAATTCTATTTTATAACAAAGTTAATTGCAGCATGTTAATCAATAGTTATGTACTGAAACACTTTTCTTTTTGGGCCAAACTGCAGCCTGATGATCATATCAAGTAATCGTATTACATATCTGTTATTTATGTGCTTCTAGGGTCTTTGGAACATATATTTGAAAATAAGTGAAGTTTTGAACAATATATATTGTAGCGTATTTCTTGGTTTATAAGTAACTGATCGTGTTAATAGGATAAGCGACGGTTATTTTTCTGCTTGATTGTTAAGTCTGTGGATATGGATATTACAAAGTATCTTAACAATTAAATATGAGTTCCTTTTTAATAGAAAAAAAGTTTGTACGTAATAAGTTTGTACCACTCTTATATCTTTATACGTACACGTTGTTTTTCATTTTAGTTTGTACTGTATATTGTTTGGTATTGCGAGTCCATGATTACCTGCCATTAGGCGTTTTTATTTTGCACTTGTTTGTTGCATCAACGGACAGTCAAACGGTTGTTCTGTTTCGTACTTAAGGTTCTATTTGTATATTTAATTTCTTTAATGAATATAAAAACGGCGGTACATAAAAGCATTTATAGCTATTTCGCGCGGAGGGTCAATAAGCACTTTTATAGTACATAAATGGATGCCTTCATATCAGTGTGCGGAACTGCATGTTGCTTGCAATCAATATGCGTGCTCGTATGTTTCCTGCTGATTTTAATATTTGCACTCTTTATAAATCTACGGTAAAAATTAAGTAGGCCATTTTACGATTGTTGTATCATAGTAATATCATTTTGAAATTTTCTCTTTCGTAGGTCTCTCCGGTTTTCTTTTTAACGGCCCTGATTTCACTCAAGACATTTTTACCGTGAATATTGAAATAGACCTAGTTCATAACTTTAAATGTCGTTTTTATTTCTACGTTGTGCGTCAGTTACGCAGTAGTATACTATAGTTCAAGTCTCTTTAGTTAACACTGTTCTATATTTTGTTTGAAGGCAATGGATTTTATGGTTCTTTGAGTGGAATGTTCAATTGCCGAATATTGTGACATTTTAACAACAGAAACTTTCGTCTGCCATTTTAACATGAAGGTGCTTTCGTGCATAAGCTAGATGTAAGCTAGGTAAAAGGCTTGTGAAACATATACGCAAGAAAATGGTTTGCATGATAAGCAGTTGCAAAAACATAAACTTTATGAAAGAAATTCTTTCAACAACAATTTGAAATGAGATCAAAAAAAAAAAAAAAAAATACGTAACGTCAAACAATTTATGCGACTTTTTTCACCATACATATTACGTAATAAAAGATTATTATGTCGCTGATTGAGCAAACACAAATCCCTGAAATGATTCCCTCCGTAATTAAACTCCCTTTAAAGTGCTTTAAACCGCACGTTAATTGCTTGTTTATTAAAAAAAGTTATGCCGATTCAAAGTTAGTCCGACGCACATCAAACGAGGTGTCATAAATCGGCTATCCTACGTTGTCCGTTAAATTATTGTATAATACACAAATATCACACCAAAGAGGTTGACACGATGCGGTAACAATCTCTAACAATTTATATGACCCAGTGACATCTGACCAAATAAAGTACTGCTATCAAATATAATTTCATAGCAGAATTTCTTCAAATCTTAACGTGATTTACTGTCCGTCTGGTATCTGTCGCACATGTCACGTGACTATCGGTAAAATTTGAGGCACTCAGTGGGGTAAAATGGAAGCATTTAACGTTCGTACAACTATCGGATAATCTAATTTTTTAACTTTTGATATTATAATTATATAGAGCATCATTATTATTAATATAATATTATATCGTTGCAATTCGTGTATAAAATTCCGATAATATATATATTGAAATAACAAAAAACTTTGTTCCTGACATACTTTTAAAGTCCGTGCATGATACGTTGTACAAATAAGACCGGGCTATTACATTTTTTGTCCGATCAGTTCATATAAATGCTTTGCATAATTTAATAGAAATAATAGGCATTTATCGATCAATGTGATCTGACGTTCATGACTATTATTATCCCGAATTTTATATATGCACGGCATACATAGATTCAATTTCTTCTGGGACATACAATTAATTAATTGTGTTCGATTTACTAGTGAACTATATGTTCAAAACGTTCGCTGAAAATATATTTTCATATCCTTTTCATTGATTCATAAAGAATTAATCATTCGGAGACTATCGAAAAAATATTTTAAAAAAATTTGTAAGGGACACCTGACCACCTGTCATATAAAGTCGTTCACATGAATATGTTGTCTGTTGCTTTTGACATTGTTAGAAATCGAGGTTGAATGTAAAGCAAGCTCTTGAATCCATATTTAAGTTCGTAAACTCAATATAATGTCTATTAGATTACGGGATAAATAAATAATTATTTCACACATTATGGATAAAGGCAGCTACATTGTTTTCACCCCCTCATGCTCATGCGATTTACCTCTCTGCTAAATTATTTGTTACATCCTGGCCGATAATTTGTTAATTTATAAAATGGGTACTTAAATGATAAACGATGTAATGTTGAAATATTCATAAAAGATGTTTTTATGATACATATATTACGAGTAGTATCGACAAATAACAAATAAATATTCATGGATATAATTATGGAACTTCCAATTTCCCTCATTTCCCTCAATAGAGGGCGGCGCGTTATCGATAATTGACAGGTTTCGCGCATAGCAGATAAAAATTGTATAGTTATAGTTTTAAAATTTTTAAAAAGCATAGTTTCTAGACTAACTGCTTCAAAAGTTTTAATCATGAATGTATTCAGAAAGGTTTATAAATCTAATAAGCAAAAAATCTGATTTTAGGTATTTTTAGTGATAATTGATTCCGTTGTCACCTTTAAGAAACGTTATTGCTTCCTAACTGATTAATAAATTTCTAAACCGAGGGAGGACTCTCAGCCATTATATCAGTTGTGGATAGTATAAAAATGACTTTTGCCTTATTCATCTCAAAATGTAACTCAATCTTAAGCGCTAAAGACATAATAAAAAATAACTAAATTATAAGAAGTGATGTATATGCAGGTAAACAATGACAACGACTAGTTTATTTGAATCCCTTACGTACATATAAAAAAACAATGTAAATGGATGAAGCGGCATAAAGATTAATTTGGTACAACTATAACCTTTTAAAATATGTAGAATTTCAGCATTTAAAGTGGCCTTTCAGTGATATAAGTGTACTTTATAGTTTGTTATTCATTAGTATGCCAACTAGTTCTTTTTTGAACATTCTAAGGTTTATTGAGCTTATAGAATGTTTGTAATAAATGATTAGGCACATTGTAAGCACCATGTGCAGTAATGGATGAAGCATGGCATTGAGGCATTTGCTAATGTGGCAATGATATACACAATGCATTTATCTTAAAGCAGAATACGTATAATGAAGATGCACGATGCTGTATATATCATATCAAAGCCTGCATCAGTTAAGACAACAACTCAAAATACAAACCTTTTATCTGACAGACAGGGTTAGCACCGCTCCATACACCGGTATCTTGGCACGTTCTTGTAACGTCTCCTACCAAGGTGTAACCAGTGTTGCAAGAAAACTCCGCAAGACCTTGGTATAGTGTATTTGGAGTATATTGGAATGCGCCATTAAGAATAGCTGCCACGGTACCACAATCTGACAACCAAAATAATACGAATATCAGGGGGAATAAAAACTGTTTTGTATCTGTATATGATTCTTCACTGTAAGAATTGTCACGGCAAATTACAAATAGAATAATAATTGTCACTTAATGTGTAAAATATGTTTCTTTCAAACAGACTAAATTAAAACATAAATAATCAATCATAAATTTATAAGAATGTGCATTGAGTAGCTGCTGTGCTTCAAAAACTTTGATGCTGTCTCAACATTATATTATAACTGTTGGCATACTTTTGATGACGCATGTAGGCGTTGCTCCACTCCATGATTTGTCTGCTTGACATGTAACTGACGACAATCCAGTTAATGTGTACCCGGCATTACAGGAAAAGTATGCTTTACTTTCGTAATATGTTCCTTCACTTGTATGATCGACAGCACCGTCTGTAGGCGGAGTAAGTGTTCCACAATCTAATATTGTAATTGTTAATAAGATATAAGATGTGTTTAAATGTTCTAGCGTGATTGTCACAAACAACTTAAATTTTAAATAACTTTATGAACATTAAAATGAACATTAAAGCTGTTTGCCTGCCAATGCCCAACTTGACCTAGAAATCAGCAAAACAACCTTCCTGGCTGAATTTGGATCAAAACTGCAGCCATTAGTCTGTTTATAAGCTTTTTTCTATTTGTAGGTCCGGTGACCTAATTTTTCACCCCAGATTATCCATCCTCGAACTCGATATGTATTTCGGTCCGATCAAAACTGTGACTGCTAGACTGTTAATAACCCAATTGTTGATGACACCGGACGCCGGTTATAGCCCCATCACTATACCTTACCTTGACCACTTCGTGGTCAAAGGAGCTAATAAAAGATTTTTTTTGCCAAAAAATAGGTGTTTATAATACAGCCGTATGAAACTTTGATATGCAGGTACAATTACTTCGCTTTTAAATATTATCATTTCAATTAAACATCATTTCAATTAAACATAACCAATTTCAAAAAACATAATCATTAATATATACATAGTGTGAACATAATGCCCTTATATTGTGTTAAAATTGTTTCATTAATATCTCTACAAAGATCACAATTGTCTGGCAAGAGTTCATGACCTGAATCACTTAATAAATATTTCTGAAAATCATGACCTTTACACTTACTCCCAGCTATTGAATATTACATGAAAATGGCATAACAAGTATGAGACATCCCTATGTAAGTTGCTTCATTTCATTTAAGAAGATTTTTTCTAAGTTTTCTCTAAATGTGCATAATGGAAATTAATTAACCCCCACGGTGGGGCCAATTTTGACCCAAGGGCTATAATTTGAACAATCTTGATAGAAGTCCACTACACAATGTTTCATGCCAAATATCTTTCTGTAGCCTCTGCGAATTCCGAAGAGCAAATTCTTTAAGTTTTTATCAAATAAACATAATGAAAAACTATGACCCCCCTGGGTCGGGCCAATTTTGACACTAGGGTAAAAATTTGAACAACTTTGGAAGAGAATCTATAACTGATATTATATACCTTGTGCCTTCAGACAAAAACAAGTTTTAATTATATGTACATAATAACATAATAATTTGAACAATCTTGATAGAGGTCCATTACACAATGTTCCATGCCAAATATCTATCCTCTACCCTTTTTCAATTAGGAGAAAAATATTGTTTAAGAATTTAGTATATACATATATGAAAAAAACAACCCCCGGGCTGGGCGGGGCTAATTTTGACACTAGAGGTAAAATTTAAACATCTTTGGGATAATATCAAATACTAAATATCAAAACTCTAAGCCTTGTACCTTCAGATATGAAGACTTTTTTTAAACACATTATTGATGTATCGTGTTTTCACTTAGTGTTCAAGACAGTTGTGATTTTAAATATTGATATTAGCTATGCGTGTTTGTCATATTTTGCCAGGGATGTAAAGAGACAATCATTGATGTGTCATTTTTTTGTGTCGACATATAGGGGTTACTTTTGTCGGCGGTGTCGGCGGTGGTGTCGGCGGCGTCGTTGTCGGCGACCCCTTAAGCTTGTCCGGCGCATAAGTCAGTCATTAAAAGTCGGATTGACTTAAAATTTAGTATGCATGCTTTTTATAATAATTCGGAGCGCAGAGCACAAGGACCGTCATTAGTCTTGACTTCTTTATGTTTTTTGTTATTTTTCATACTTTATTTTTGTCTGGGCCTTTTCTCCTAAAGTATAAAAGCTATGGACTTGAACTTTCATAGGGTGATAGATCTCATTAAGAAAATGTGCATTGCATGAGAGCCGGTCTTTGCATTTCTTATTTTATTGAATTATTGCCCTTTGTTTACTTTCAAATTTTATTTTGATTTTTGCCCAGGCCATTTCTCCAAAAGGATAAAAGCTATGGGCATGGAGCTTCATAGGATGGTAGATCTCATTTAGAAAAAGTGCAGTGCACAAGAACCGGTACTCTGCATTTCTTCTCTTTTGAGGTATCGCCCTTTGTTAATTTTCATATTTTATTTTTGCCCAGGTTATTTCTCCTAAAGTATAAAAGCTATGGACATGAAACTTCATAAGATGATAGATCTCATTAAAAAGAAGTGCAATGCACAAGTACTGTGCATTTCTTATTTTTTTGAGTTATTGCCGTTTGTTAATTTTCATACTTTATTTATGTCCAGGCCATTTCACCTGGAGTATTAAAGCTTTGGTCTGTTAACTTCATTTGATGATAGATCTCTTAAGAAAAAGTGCAGTGTACAAGAACTGATAATCTGCACTTTTTATTTTTGAGTTATTACCTTCATTATTTTTCATACTTTTATTTTTGTCCTGGCCATTTCTCCTAAATTATAAAAGCTATAGACTTTAAACTTCATTGCTTTAAACTTATTTGTGTTTACTATTTTTTTTTAGTCCATGGGCCCGGATTTGAGCAATAAATCCTTTCGATTAACAGCTAAAAGTAAATCCGCATTCAAGAACTCCTTTCGATTTCTATATTGATTTCCCCGTCGTTGATTCGCAGCATGTCATATTAATGAATGAGAACCGGAAAGCAGTTCTGCTGTTACATAAATTCGAAAGCTATAAATAGCGATAAATGTTACTTCGGTTATTAATTTGTTATTTCCCTTTTTTAGTAGAACATGAAATTATAATTTGTTACATTTTGAAATACATTTACACACAGCATATCAAGTATACTATTAGTGATTGAATTTGTCAATATAAAAAAGATTTCAGGAATTAGATTTCAACAATTTCGTTTTTGATAATTATTTTCAATTTATATTCATGAAATTAAATGTTTAATAATAACATGTTGATATATTGGTTGTTTTGAAATAATTAAACTTTAGTATATAACGTTATATTTCATTCGCGTTACTGGAACAGCATACCACTTTGAGTAAAAGAAAAAAGAAAAAAAGTATGACTGGTGATATGTACGGGGGTCCGTACTTTACAGCGAAAGCTGCAATGCGGATGGACCTTCAATAAGGTGTTTCCGCTTTCTCAGCCATGTTTGTTTTCACAAAGTCTGTCCAAAGTGAAAGTAGGCCAAAATTCATATAACAACAAAGCTCATATAATGATGAGCAATTTGCAAGTACAATTCCAATTCTATGTTTTTAAGACTATCTTAAACATAAATAAAAATGATAACAATAAGAAATTTACCTTGAATGGGCTACATTTCCAAAGACCAAAAACATTCTGTTGCAAAGTTTTATGCACATTTCATGAATGGCAAAATCCAGTTTAAAGTATATTTTAGTGCAAACAAATGCTATTTTTTTTGCAGAAAATACAAAAAAAAACAGTTTTACTTTAAAAAACATAAATCTTAGGAAAGTAGTTTATCTGACCTTGAAAAGAAACATGACCTCCATGACATGTGTGAAAAAGTAGAACCATGAAAATAAACATCATTTACCTATTTCTTGTGTACATGACAAACAGATAGACTTCACTGTTACACATAAAAAGGTTAGATTTTAAAGTTTGATTGTTTTTTCATTTTAATTGTAGTTCATAAGGCTATTAATGATGATTGTTTTCTTGCACTACTTTTTACAAAAAATAATGGAGGCCATGTGCTTAGAAGGACATGAGATACTGATTTATTTGGAGTTAGGTTTGGGAAGATTTTTGTATTTGCTGCAAAAAATAGCTTTTGTTGGCACTAAAACAGACTTTAAAAAGGATTTTGCCATTCATGAAATGTGCATAAACATTTGCAACAGAATGTTTTTGGTCTTTAGAAATGTAGCACATTCAAGGTAAATATTCTTATTGTTATCATTTTTATTTTTGTTTATAATTGTCTTTAAAATATAAACCTGGAAGTGTACTTTCAAATGGTTTATCATTTTACAATACGAGCTTTGTTGTTATATGAATTTTGGCCTACTTTCACTTTGGACAGACTTTAGTGAAAACAAACATGGCTGACAAAGCAGAATCACCTTAAGTATAGGATATAGATAGATATCATGACAACAACAGAAACTTTGATCTGCAGTTTGAACATGAAGTGCTATGTTTTTTATGAATTGGTTTAAAGCAATTCAACAAATAATATATATTGATCTCACTTAAAATTAATTAACAATAGTTTTTTTTATATATAACCAATGTCAAATAGCTTTCATATCTTTGTCTCGCACGAATATGATATTAGTGAATTTCCTCATACCTACCTAACATTCAGGTAACAGTCCTTTATTATATTGATAAGTACTGTATCACCATGTAACGCGTGTATAATAAACAAAAAATCCTGAATTTGGTCTTTTTGAAATGTGTGTTCTACTTTCAGTATTGAAAGAAACCATTTTTTTTTAATTTGACATGAAAAATATACATGTAACATTACTGTATTATAATATTAGTCCCTTTTGTTACTATTTGTATATTTGTTACAATTATAACATACTTTTATATTTCTATCATCTTCTGTTACTGACTACAGTAGTAACACAAATAAAACACAGTTCAGTCATGTCACATAACACTTACAAGTCTTGTTCGTATTCAATGGAATTACTTTCCTTACCAGGTAGGCATCAGTGAAAGCATTTTTATATTAAAAAATTTTCCCCTGTTTTTAATTATGGACAGTGCATAAGATAAGTATAATTATGCAAAAAATGGTTTACAAAACATTCGGAAAAAATCTACAATAGTACTTAATCTGAATTTAACAAGACCTGTGCGTAGGACTAATTTGGTTAGGTATCTGTAATGAGCACATTTTTTTTGCGCGGAGCTTCTCAATTGCTGCATTGCACCAACATTTGTACTTGTACATGTTGTGTGCTGATAGATGTTATTGATAAGAAGTGCCGTGACTTTTGTTAATTTTCATATTTAATTTTTGTCCTGGCAATTTCTCAGTATAAGTCAGTCATTAAAAGTCGGATTGACTTAAAATTTAGTATGCATGCTTTTTATAA